CGAATAGGGGATTTTCAACGGTGGATATCTAGGTTCCCGTGACGATGAAGAACGCAGCGAAATGCGATACGCAATGCGAATTGCAGAACCGCGAGTCATCAGATCTTTGAACGCAAGTGGTGGAGGTGTAAAAACCTTCATGTTTGTTTCAGTGTGGAAAGGAATCACGCATCTTAATGCGATTGAAGCCGTCAAAAGCTTCTCTCGTTAAACGTGATGGGTGGTCGAGCAATCGCCGCCAGAACGAAGTAGTCACATTCCAGTAATGTGAACATTCGTTCAGGCATCAAGGCGAATGCTCACTATGCTACTCATAGAAAAATTACATTTTTCTCACTACACCTGAAACAAGCAAGATTACCCGCTGAACTTAAGCATATCAGTAAGCGGAGGAAAAGAAACTAACTAGGATAGCCCCAGTAATGGCGAATGAACAGGCTAAAGCTCAAAGTGAAAATCTGAAGTGGTCAACACAACAGAATTGTAATCTAAAGGGTCAACCTGAAACTAAGCTCCTCTCATAAGTTCCTTGGAACAGGACGTCAAAGAGGGTGACAACCCCGTAGTCGGAGAGGAAGGCTGGTGTAAGGGAGATTTCAAAGAGTCGGGTTGTTTGGGATTGCAGCCCTAAGTGGGAGATAAACTTCTTCTAAAGCTAAATATACACGGGAGACCGATAGCGAACAAGTACTGCGAAGGAAAGATGAAAAGAACTTCTCATATTCAGGAGCCTAAAACAAGGGACCTTCTATTATCTTCAAATCTAATGAAAAAAAGTGAAAGAAATGTTTTCTTCTAAATTGCCAAGAGTGACATTAAGGAATGAAGTAGCTCTATTTTTTTCTTAAGTTTTAAGAGAAATAATTTTTCTATTAGCATCTCATTTGATTCTGATTAAAATTTGTTTAATTGTTTTTTTGGTTAAGCTATAATTTTAATAACACTTCTACTATCTTAAGTTTCGCTATCGTAAATTTTGTAAATATAATGTTTGTTATTGGGTAAAA